TTAATTAAAATCCTGACACTGTATGTTTTTCCTGTGTAACACAGTTCTTGGTGTGCTAATACTTCTCCCTGCTTAAAATTTGCACACCAGGACTATTCTCTCAATACCTACATAGAAAATCATCACATCAATTCCGGAAAGCATCCAAACATACCTGACGTGTGCATCACAATCAAAGGTTTAGGTGTTCATTTCTGGGCAATGACTTATAGACGTTAGGTGTGTGAGGTGGCCAGACTTGATTTCCCCTGCCCAGGGAATCCTACAATAGACCTCGTGGACATGTATGCGATGTCTGGTGAGGACTGAGGGGTCAAATCCCTTCAGGTTAGATCAGTGAGACGGATGATTCAAAATAACTTTTCTTCTTTATCTTGTTACAGCTTTGCGACAGACTTTGTAGCATCTGTTTTTCCTGTTCCTTGCATAGCTAAGCCATAATTTCCTTAATATAAGTTGATGGAGCCAGCTATCACATTACCAAAATGCCCACAAGACTGATATCCTAGCCCTGCTGCCAGACATGCCTCGCATTGGATGCATTCCTTTGGAAAACTGCTTCCCCAACTTGTTTACCCCAGATGACCTGCTAATGCCATATTTTGTAAAGCAGAGGAAGCAGGGAGAGGAATGGCCTAGTTATCTGTTAAAATTAATTTAACTTTTTTTTTTTTAATTTCTGTAATCTAAAAATAAAATTCAGACTCAATTCTGATGATCATTTTTTTCACCTCCTGACTTGCTGAAATACAGGTAATAAACATGTAGAATATGCTTTTGGTACTGACAGCAAACATGGACATATGGTCTTCAGACCAGTATTTAGCAACAAAATTATGCTATTATTCCACCTGGTTACTAAATGGCTTATATATCTGGAAGGTTTCTGTGAACTTATAGGTATAACTGTGAGAAACAATAAAAAATGCCTATTCTAAATTAATCTATGGAGCAAAGTGTTCTTTATGCTTTATCATGATATAGAAGAAATGGTTCTTCTAATATTCAAAATGCATAGTTTGTACCAAGGAGTAATTAGCACAAGTCAACCATCTGCCTGATACCACCATCCTGTCTGTTGAAAACAGGTAGCAGCACTCACGGGAGTAGCCGGCAGTCGTGCCCTCCTGTGCCCTCATGAAGTTTTCTCTGTCCGTTCCAGCAGTAAGAGACAGGGACCGCGTGTCTGAATCCGGGGAATTAGTTCTGGTGTCCATATCCCCTTTCAGAATAAGCCAACTGGTCTTTAGCTGGAAAGAGCAAGAGCATGTTAGAGGATTCAGGATTTAACATCTGAATGCAGTTCTCTTTCCTCACCTGTCTGGGAAGCCTTGTGAACTGACTGTATAGTTATGTTCACTGCAACTTGTGCCATCCTTTATCAAATGATAAAAGTTGACTGTATCTAGGACGTCTCATTGGATGCCACAGCTACCAAAAGCTCTTAACTTTCAGCTGGGCTGAGGATAGTTTCTCTGTTAATTAAGCTGCTCACGGCATCCCACTTTAGGAGATGCACTACATCATTTTCTTATAACGAATCTCCTGTTAACATTTTTCTCGTATGTTAATATGCACCCCAAGTAAAGTCCACAGGCTTAGCTGAATCACCAAGGTATATATTGAGACTGAGTGAAAATCCATGAGCTTACTGTTCGTTCTTCATCTCAATATCCCTATTTCTTTCTTTACTGGAGAATGTAGATTCTAAAATCTCTGGGTGAGAGATTAAACTTTTCTATATCTTCTTGGAAAGCCCTAGAAGTAGTAATGATTACTTCAGTTATATGAAAGAATGCCTTTATGTATGAACATGTTTTTAAAAACAGTTGCCTCAAGAAAGATCAAGAAACTACTCCCTTTTGTTCTTTCTGATTATTACCTTCTTACTGTCCTGATCCAAGCTTCCATCCTCCCCTTCCGATCTTCTTGCTGCTGGAAGATTAAGTTAATTTATAAAATTAGAACAGATTACATCATTTTTGTCTTCTGTTTTGACTGTGGTTATTTTCCAAATATTTTTAAGACAAGAAAAAAAACAAAAACAGAGCTGGGCAGAAAATTCAATGCGTAGACCCATGGCTTCAACAGCATTACTTAAAATAATTTGATGCATAGATCTATGGTTTCACAGCATTACTTAAATTAATTTTGAAATTATTACAGTAATTCATCCTTCAGGCACACAGTGAATTTAGACAATCTATTC